CTTTACCTCTCCAGGGCCTGCAGGGTGTAGCTGATGAGCGGCCTCTCCAGGATGGGGCAGAACTGCTTCGGGGTGGGGACGCCCATGCGCTCCCCGCACCCCCCAGCCGGCAGCACGGCCGCCACGACACTCAGCGAGGAGGCCGGAGCCGCCAGGTCCGCGCCGCGCGGGCCGCTCAGGAAAGGCCCGGGCTCGTGGGGCCTGCCGCCTCCGGGTGGCCCGGGCTCCATGGCTGTCCCGGACCGCAGCGCCCAGCGCCGATCGCGTCCTCTGCCGGGGTCGCGGGGTGAACCGCAGGAGTGAGGAAGGGCACAGCGCAGGCAGAAGGCGCCCTCCGACGCCCAGGCCCCGCAGTGGCCCGCCCGCAGAGGACGATCGCGACCGCCGCGGCCGCAGCTGAGCCGGCCGATCTCCCCCGCGGCTCCGCGGCGGCGGCCTCTGCGTCCCGGCCTTGCGCCCCCGGGAGGCCCGACTGATCGCTTCGCGCTGCCCCCGGGCCGGTCCAGCGGCGGCGGCAGGTGCAAGGCTCAGCACAAGCCACACACCTGAGGGTCGCCTGCGCACACCAGGCGGGCGGTCGTTTGCAGGACAGGACGGGCCCCCACCCCGTCCCTCCCTCCGCTTTAAGATTATGGAAGAGATTCGGCTTCAAATCACAGTATGGAATGGAGGGTGGGTGTGTGTGCAACTCGGTTATCTGAATTCCATTAAGCTCCCGAGCCTTCTTGGATCCACCTGGAAAGACAGGTGGATTGGCAAATGTTAGGACAGATCGATACATTCATCCAGAACTGCGATGGTTCCCAAACTTGTCTGCACATTGGAACCCCCCGGGAAGCACGCCCTGCGGCCTGTGTTTCACTTTCAAAGACTGGGATTTAATTGGTCCGATGTGTGTGTGCCCTGGGCTTCGTAGACAAGACAGTTAGTTGGAGGTGACCATGTTTTTCAAGATTCTAATGAGCAAGCAACTATATTAAACAAATTTACAACTGCTCAACAGCAGACACACATCTCATTTAGTCCCCAGGAGAACTCTACTAAGGGGAAGACAGGGATAGAATGTTTAAGTAATTTATGTAAAATTGCACAACTAATGGCAGAGCGACCTTAAAGCCCTTGTACAGAAGTATGGCCAGAGTTGAGGAATTCCAGGCCTGAAGCAAATCTCACCTTATTTGGTACTGTTGTTCCTGTGATGTTTAACATGAAAGTATAGTGAAGGATCTGGAATGCCAGAGCACTGTTGTATCAGGTCCCTGGAATGTAAACTCCTTGAGAGCAGGGACCTTGTTTTTTTGATTTGGGTTGTGTGACTAGCTCTGGAATGAAACAGAAGCTTACTCCTTATTGAATGAATTGCTGATTAAATAGATTAATGATCATTACAATATATAATTATCTATAATTTGTAGTTTTCATACACCAGTGTTTAATGAGACTTATAAAATATAATCTTTTAGACACTGAAAGTTATCCAATTAAAATACTCTAGCTTCTTATTTTCACTCATTTTCTCAGTGTCAAGCATACAATAACAAAAGATAAATGACCTGCTTTTATTCTCTTTCTGCTTGCTGAGTCTTACTGAAAGCAATCTTTCACTTTTGTTACTTGTATTATAATTAGCATTCAGGTCTTTGTGCTAGTTGAGGTTTGTCAGACTTCTGACTCTTAGCTGAAAAGATGGCACCATGATATTCTTCTTTGTGATTGTTGTATGGTTTCTTTCTAATTTGATCTTGAGGTCTCTCTCCTGAGAGTAGTCACAAGCCACAACAGCAATTCTCCAGAAAAACCTTGACCTGGGGAAGAAAAGTTAGGTTCTGGTGTATAAGTGAAACACTAGCACAACAAAACACAAGAAATAACAGGAGCATTTTATACAGACCCACAAGAGGAAAGGGTGTCCACAATGCCCAACAGGAAGTCCAGAGACAGCAAGGAGTTCAACCAGCAGTAGAGGAGGCAAGAGAGAGAGGAAACCTGTGAGGCTATGCTTTCATTGAGGTCCTTGAGCTTTAGCACATAGATTTTCCAGAGGAGTTGTGTTTAAAGAAAACATGGGTGAAAGGGAATCTTAATTACATGACTCTGGTGTGAACCGCTAGGTTTTATCATGGTTAACACTACAAATGGTCTATATTGTAAACAGCCACACAGGGAGAGGAAGTATTTTGTTTTGTATTGTTTGGAGTCAGGGTCTCACTCTGTCACCCAGACTGGAGTGCAGTAGTGCAGTCACGGCTCACCGTAGCCTCAACCTCCTGGACTCAGGTGATTCTTCCACCTCAGCTCCTAAGTAGCTGGGACTATAGGCATGTGCCACCATGCCCAACTAATTTTTTGATTTTTTTGTAGGGACAAAGTCTCATTATGTTGCCTAGGTTGGCCTTGAACTCGTGGGCTCAAGCAATCCTCCTACCTTGGCCCTCAAAGTGCTGAGATTACAGGTGTGAGCTACTGCACCTGGCCTGGGAGGAAAAGTTAAATAGGCCATAGGTGATGAGGATATCTGGGTTTCAAACCGCTTACCTCAAGCCTAAAAAGGGTTGCCTAGGCAGCAACTATATTAAGGAAATTTACAGTACTTGACTTCATAGCACTTGTACTTTGCATTTAATAAATATCTGTTGACTAACTGGATAAATGAGTATTTATGATAGAAGGAAGACAAATCAAATTACTATTTCTATTAAAATCTATCTGTAGGCCAGGTGCAGTGGTTCATACCTATAATCCCAGCATTTTGGGAGGCTGAGATGGGAGGATCACTTGAGGTCAGGAGCTTGAGATCAGGCTGGACAACATATGAGACCTCGTCTCTACAAAAAAAAAAAACCCAAAATTAGCCAGGTGTAGTGGTGTACACCTATATTCCCAGCTACTCAGGAGGTTGAGGTGGAAGGATTGCCTGAACCCAGGAGGTCAAGGCTGCAGTGAGCCATGATTGTGCCACTGCACTCCAGCCTGGGTGACATATTGAGACCCTGACTCAATAAATAAATTCATTAATTTTTAAAAATCTATCTTTAAACCTCTCTTTTCAACCTAAAGATGGAGTTAAAGTTATTATTCTTCTTTTACTTAATCTTGAGCCAAAAAAAAAGTACAGCAATAAAGCTCTTGTTATATTAATTGCCATAGAATAATTTTATATAATTAAATCTTGTCAAATTTTAATCAGAATTTATTTAGTTTTGTACTTAGGTAAAATATATTAATTTAGCTCTGTTCATTACGAATCCTTAGAGTTTACTGTATATTAACAATGCCTAGCTGATCAACTTGCAGTGAAAAAGATAGACTGTAATATTCATTCATAAATATAGTATGAAGCAACATTTTTTCTCTGGGTCTTTTTTATATGAATATTATTAGTTTTGTGTCATGTGTACTTTGGGTAGAAAATTGGTTTTCATGTTACTTAATACCATGTTACAGCAGCTACATTATGAGAATAACTTCTCTGCATCAGGCATGTGAAAGTACATACCCTGGAAGGTAAAATCCTCTGGGACCGCTGGGTAATAACCATTCTAAGATACCAGTTGAAGAGCTTCCAAAATATAAGCACCAACTCTATTACGATGCAGAGCTTGCAGAGTGAGGAAGTTCTTGCAATGGTTTTTGGTCTGAGCTTCTATGCTAGGCAGAATGATGACTCCCTAAAGATGCCCATGCCCTCATCCCCAAAGTCTATGAAGAGACATTGCCGATGTGATCAAGTTAAAGATTTTGAGATGTGGGAGAGGATCCTGGATTATCCAGGTGGGCCCTATCCAACTGCAAGGTTTCTTTCTAGAGGAAGATCAGAGTTAGAGAAGCAGAGATCAGACTGCTTCTGACGCTGGGCCAGAGCCAAGGAATGCAGGAAGCCTCAGAAGCTGGACAAGGCAAAGAAACATGCTGTGTCTTAGAGCTTCCAGAAGAATGTAGTCCTGCCAACCCATTTTCAGACTTTTGATATCCAGAAGTATAAGATAATATACTTGAGTTGTCTTCAGATACATTTGTGATAATTTGTTATAGCAGCAACAGGAAACTAATACGGCTTCACACAGAGGAAGGGCTTCAAATTCACATTTGAACTATAATCTCTAAATGCGGTTATACATAGTTAGAAGTACATTGACGTGATTGAAAAAAGAAGGCACTGTTCAGTCAACTGATGTCTTGTTTCTAGACCCCTCCATTTGAGTTTTCAAAGCAAAGCTATCTCGTGAATAACAAAATGAATTCCATTGTATCATGCCTGTTTAAAGCATAACTTTGTTAAATGTATACCACAATTTTATAACCTCACTTTAGTATGTCTTTTTTTTTTACTAGACTTTATTTTTTTACAGCAGTTTTAGGGTCATAGCAAAATTAAGAAGGAGATACAGAAATTTCTCATATCCCACACATGCATAGTACCTGCCATTGTCAGAATGTCCCACCAGAGTGGTGCATTTGTTACAATTGATGAAACTCCATTGACACCTTGTCACCCACAGTCCATAGTTTACCTTAGGGTTCACATTTGATGATGCACACTCGTTCTATGGGTTCGTGCAAATTTACAATAAAGTGTGTCACTATTATTGTACCATACAGAGTAATTTCTCTGCCCTGAAAATTCTTCATGCTGTATTCATGCCCCCTTCCCCCTAAACTACGGATCTTTTTACTGTCTTCATGCTTTCGCCTTTTCTAAATGTCATATAGTTGGAATCATACAGTATTTTTTTCAGATTGGTTTCTTTCACTGAGTTGCATTCATTTAAATTTCCTCCATGTCTTTTCATAGCTTGTTACTTCATTTCTTTTTAACACTAAATAATATTCCATTGTTTAGATGTACCACAGTCTATGTATCCACTCACCTACTGAAGGAAATCTTGGTTGCTTCTGAGTTTGGGTAATTATGATCAAGCTACTACAAATATCTGTGAGCAGGTTTTTATGTAGACTAAAGTTTCTGACTCCTTTGGGTAAATACCAAGAGAAAGATTGATGGATCGTATGGAAGGAGTATGTTTAGTTTTGTAAGAAACTACTGAACTGTCCTCTAAAGTGACTACCATTTTACATTCCCCCCAGCAATGAATGAGACTGTCTACCAACATATCCTCGCCAGCATTTGGTGTTTTTGTCAGTGTACTGGAATTTGGCCATTCTAATATGTGTGTAGTGATATCTCAGTGTTGGTTTATTGTGCGTTTCCCTGATGATATATGATGTTGGA